AGCCACCATGAGAGTGACGCGGCTCGTTTCGGATAGCCTAGACAACACAAACTCCGGCCGCGGAAGCCCACGCAACCTTATCCGCCGCCTAATGATTACATAGCCAGTCAGTTTCAAAAACGGTGCGGAAAGCGCTTGCCACGGGGCGCTACCTGCCGTGTGGCGTGCAACTGGAAGGTGTCGTAAGACGTCCATTACCCGGCGCCAAAGCATCTCGAACATCGCTTCGAGAGTGCGAGACGAACATCGATACGCGGAGCCGGTGCACGCCGCAGGCCAGTGACCACTCCCACGCGACCGACATCCGGTCAGCGTCGCCATCTTTCCTCCCGAGGCGACCTCAGGGGTGCGCAAACTCTGCGCCGACGCAACGGAAAGGCTGACTAGCAATTCTCAACACCTGTACCGCTAGGCCCAGGTCCACATTCAGTCTGTAAACTTAATGGACAAAGGAGGGGAATTGCTTAGTTCAAAAGAATTTAACACCGTTTCGTTTGTAAAAGAGCAGTACTATTTCAAAATAAACATGTGTCCACTGCTTCAAAGGATGACACTTAAACAACTTTTCTTTACTTTTTTACTTTCCTGTATACGTATAAACGGAGTGTACGTAAAGTAGGGAAGTGTAATGCTGTAACACTTCCCTATACTACATGTGTTATGTAATGCTGCGGAAAATCTATTTTGAGATTTAAACGGAAATGTACATTTTGGGGTCTCCTGATACCGAAAAAGTGTTGTTGTTTTTTGTTTTGTTCTTTCAAAACGTCCGTCTGTCAGAGAGGCGCCTGTGAATGCCACCTAAACCATACGTAGGATTTTTTTCCAAATTAAAGAAACTCCTGTCCATCTGGCTCAAATTGGAGCTTTCAGATTTTAAAAAAATCTTTAAAATTTTGGTATACTTAATGTAGAGCACCCTGACATTTTCAATTTTTTTAAAAAACATTCGCGGCCAAATATTGTTTTTAAAAATAGCAATATCCAAATATTCTTTTTTTAAATGTGCCATTTTCTTTCTCTTTTTTATGTATTCAGTTTTCTTTTCTCTCACACATGCTTTGTATTTTTTCCTTGTCAAGGCCTATATGTAACGACATACAAGCTCCCAATTGGATGAAACCGCCTACAGCTCATACCTGCCAAACCATTGGTGGATATACAAGGGTGAGTTCCTCCAGCGCATTGATTTTTGCCCAACACCATTTGCGTCAAAACCACAACACGAGCACTTCGTTTGGAAAGCCAAATCAGACGCTGGCCGCCATGTTGTGGAGAGCGAGAAGAATTGAGAAACATTTTGAGGTTGGTACAAAGACAATTTTCAACGGTAAACAATCAAAAATAACATAATGAAGGTGTACAAGATGTAATATTTAAAAGAAATGCATCATAAATTTGTTTCAATGTCTTGTAACAAGTTGAAAATTTTGGTATGTGTGCATTTAAAATTCCCGCTAATATTGTGACGAAAACTGGTGTATGGAGGTCATTGGCTGATGCAATGCGCAAGAGCCCTTCCTGTGTCAGACGCACGACTAAACAAATCATACTTGTAATATATAGAACGCCTCCACACTGATTGTGACTACTTGTGATGTCATCATAGGTAGTCTGACCATCGGACAGTTGCGCATTTATACTATGGCGCGTCAGAGGTTAAAAATGAAGTGCGGTCTCTAATGGCGGTAGTAATGCTACACGTGGCGCTATTCTGCTGTATTTGAATCGAAAGTTATGCGTTCGATAATGCCGACGAAAACCGCAATGGGGGCGAGCTCTAGTCTAGCGCTCAAGTATAATATATCTTGAACCTTTCCAATATTATGATATCGCATTTTCCACCCTTTCATCAGATCTAAAACTATTCCTATGAGTATCCAATACATAGGAAACGTTTCTGTTAAGCTTCTCACGTCATTTTTGCTTCGAAATGTCATAAGAAATCAGGAAGAAATATTAACTTTCTTTAAGTGCACCAATATTTCAATGCTATATCCAAAATTCAAGCCAACTACATGCAGTTGCAAAGAGTCCAATCTTCGTGTTTCCTTCTAACAGTAGAGAAATAAGTTTTGATTACCTAGCAAAATATTTGAAATCATTTTGATGATAAAATAAGTCAGCTCCACGGAAACAAACTGATTTGATTCACGGGAAACCGAGCTACCTCGCGCCAGGTGAGTGAACAGATATCTCCCGGCAAGCACTGAGTACTACGAATCCCGTTCGAAAATATAATTATAGTTAAATAGGCACATTAATAACCATTTATCTTTTCGACTATGGAGCACTTTATCACCCTTGCGCTTTACGGTTCGTGGATCATACATTCTAGATTAAGTTTGCAAAGCAAAAGGAATTAACTTTTTTAAATTGTAAATTAATAAATTTCACACGATCTAGATTTAGATTTATTTAGTCAAAAAACTGTATGTGACTTATGGGTGAGATCATCTGCGCACATTTTCCTGAGATCCAGAATCTCTTCCATCATTTTAAATGTAAATAGTTGAAAAATGAATAAAAATTAATTTAAATCAATATTTTTAAAAGGCGCGATATTAACGACATATGAAAAGCTAGACATTTTCTTTCCCGAGTAATAGAAAACTTATTTGCAACTGTAAATGAACTAAAATTTCATTTTCTGCTTTACTAACAAAATTGTAAATCTCTCTTACCTATACTCCTACCACTACAATCCAAAGGAGAGTTCAACAAAACGTGCACATAGTGAAGCTATATTTACGTACAGGAGCAAACCCAAGGGGCCATCTCAGCATTTGCTCAATATATCAGGAAAACTGGACAAAAAACTGATCGAGATGGGGGTCATTGACCCGGAAGCTGAAGTGCATTATTTGTTACAAGCATATTAAGTCTTTTTTACAAAAAATTATACAATACAAATTTACACAATACAAACCAAAACTCATTCATTATATATCACTGTTTTGTTAAAATAAACATTATTTTTCTTTTTGATGACCAGTATAGTCTCTACTTATAAAAACAGTTTTGCAGCAGAAAATATTTTACTTTTAACTTAAATTTGTGTACTGACTTCAATTGTCTAAAGTCATCTAGCAATACGTTGTAAAGTAACGATTTGTGTGTGGTATGTGGATTGTATTTTATGTGGATTTCTGGTAGTGAGCTGTTGATACTGACACTTGATGAATGTTATTTCTAGGAGGTGTGTTGTAACAAATGTTGTAACAAATTGTTGTAACAAATATTAGAATTGTAATATAAATATCAGTATATCAAACCTAAAAACAAAAATGAAGAAAAGTAAACGAAATTACATAGAACTTTGACGCGATTAAAACCATAAATCTCAAAAACTAAACGCCACTATTCACAGGTGAACGAACAAGTAAACAACCGGAACGCACTTTCTGAGCACATTATGATACGGCAACAGAAGCACGTAGTACAACATCTGCGGCTTATCTAACAGCCGATCAAATCACTTCCTATAAAAAATAATAAATTCTAAATAGATTCACCACGATTTGTGGTAAATATATAATGTATTTGAGGTACTGTTTTATTAATGTAATCGTTAAGATGAAAAATTATGTTAGTGAGGGTTTTAAACAGTTTTGAAATCATAAAACCAAGGGATACGTTTATTTACCGGAAGAGTCCTAAGGCCCCTAATAAGGCATATTTCGTACTTAACCTGGGACCCGTACTAGGTTTGCGATTACTATTTTGGAAATGTATCAAAAAACATACAGAAGCATATCAAATGTATGCTCCTACTTCATGTTCACATCAGTGGAATTAAGTGCTATATTTATTTCAGGAATCCATAAGAAATTCGTTTAAATAAATTGATTTAGATTTGTTGTGACTAGAGCAGATATCTTAGTTATGTACATTCATTAACTTATTTAACAGATGGAAAATGAGGTTCAATTCTTAAATTCAATAAAGTGTTATGAATACATTACTTACATTTTTAAGGTGTCATCTACAAACTGGAAAAATGCTGTGCAACATGCTGAAAAACTTGTGGATGAATATAAAGAGAAGGATGGGGCAGATTATGAAAACAATAAATGCATCATAGATCTAAACAGGGACAGAGTAATGAAGATTTCACAGAAAAATACCCATATGTAATTATTGTGAAGTAAATTTACTAGGTAAAAAAATTATAAATAGTGTTTTAATTCTTCATCCTTATTTTTTATTGTCGAATGTTCGGATAAAATATATTATTGTAGGACTAGGATAATTATGAAATGTACACATATAAAATTTAAGGAATACTGACATCCATTTTCTTAAATTTTCCTTTCATTCATTCTATATCCTTATCAATCATTAACAGTGTTTGTAAGAATATAATTTATTAATTTATTCCTCCAAAATTTTCTAATTTAACCTTCATGTTTACATTTTACAATATAACATTAAACTTCTCATATTTCTTCACGAGTTTCGGGAGAAAATTATAGAAATAATTATTCAAAATATGTTTCAAAACATTCAGTGGATTCATATTAACGTTATAATGAGATAAGTTCTTGGTGGCGATCTCGAATTGCGTATATTTGAATGTAGCGCCAAAGTGTAGCTTCATATACATCAAATACTATCTCTATAGTATTTGTATACATTTTCGAAGTTGGCAAAACCGAATGTTCGCTATATTGAAAATTCTAGGGACCAAAGCACGCTGAAAACCCAATACTTGGGTTTTTATTTTTAACGCATGAGATCGTATTTCTCGATGGAATATTTCGCGATATTTCGCATCTTTCTCGCTCGTGTCGCAGGATCGCCAGCACTGCATATTACGGTCGCGATCATACGAGTCTGAGAAAGATGCGAAATGCTGTGAGATATTTCATCATTAAAATAGGCTTTCACTCGCCAAGAATAAAAACCCAAGTACATCCATAGGGTGTTGATGAAGCCCGCCACTGTGAGAGCAGCTCGGTGTGTTCATAAAATGGGCTGCGAGATTTAATGCCTCATTATTTCCCCCCTTCGCCCAGAGAGAATGCAACTACGCCTTGCAAGCTTTTGTCAACAACTGCATAACCTTAATAGTTCGTATTCACCTTGTGTCGTCTGTGGTAATAATGGAAGAAATTAATGTTTTAACGGAAAGCTTAATTAAAATCGAGGACGTAAGCATTTTCATATTTTTGATATAATGATGAAATGTGATTTATCATCATTTCAGAATAGAGTAACGAGAGTTACGAATACTAATTATTCTTGTTTCTTAAAGTCAATTGTTATGAATTCAAGTGTGTCAAGTGTAATGTAAATTCGTGTTTCAAATGACATTTGAATGATTGTCTAATTTTCAGGTTAAAGAAGAACCGGCCGATACGAAAGAACATTGCTGGAATACATTTGTGAGTAGTTTTATAATAAGATTGAGTGACATACTAATTGCAATGTTTTGAGGTTGTCACTGAATAGTGGAGGATTTGACATGTTTGTGACTAGAATGTATAAGAGCTATTATTATATAAATTCATATTTTTGCATTTGTAACCTTTTTTTGCTGTGCAAGAATAGTGTTGTGGTCATAGCTTGTATGTTAGCTTTCAGAGCTTAAGTGTCTGTGTTGAATTCATGATTGAGGGTTCTGCTGAAATAACTTCTTTGCTGTTGCTAAATGTGTAAGGCAACTAATTTGTATGAGTGGGTCAGGGAAATGTTGTTAAAGCTTTGAAATTTTGTTCTCAAGGGGCTGATGTGATTTATGTGCACTTTTGGGCTTGGTTAGGAAAGCAGTTGCACTTCCTTAAAATTCACAAATGAAGCACCAAGCATTTGGATGTGGAGATAAGAAAGAAGGGGTAGTTTCAAGCATCCTTGGTATTTTTGATGAATTTCATTTGAATGCGCCATGACCTGTCACCAAAGAAATCTTATTTCAATTGATATTCCAGGATCTTAAATTGCAAGTGTTGTGTTTTGCTCTTGTAAATTTCACTCCATCTGCTTATTTAACACCTGCTAGTAATCAAAGTTTACCACACTCGAAATGTTATTTGTAGTAAAATCTTACGAATTGTTTGAAGTATAATTTTCAAAATTGCTGACTTCAGTGAACAGTTCTTTCTTCTTTTTGTACAAAATTTTTCAGTGTCCTTTTTAAATCTCTTCACCACAGTAGAAACTTTGAACACTAATGGTACATTGGAAAATGAAATAGCTTTTGATCAATAGAGCTTATGGGGAAATTCAAGTCATTAAAAAGTTTTCAAATGCCTGGGTTACCTTGTTTAATAAATAGTGTAGGAATTACGAAGCATTCTGTTTTAACTATAAATATGTGTAATTTTTATTATTAAAACAAATTAGATATTCTTACAAATTAATGTAAAAGAATGAAATTTCAGTTTACTAAAATTTTAATATGAATGAAAACTTAATATATTGAGTTTTTAGGTGATCCAGCATATAAATTTTAACTAAATCATCTTTTTCTAAAAGTTTTAAATAATAATTGAAAGTTGTAAAACATTCAATATAATCACATAATTATTTGTCACTAGTTATATATGAGACTATGGGTTCACATCAAAAATTGGCCAGCAATGTTTTTTATAATAATTACACACACTACTAATTCCTAACTTACAGTATTACATTACACTCTATTGAACAATTCCATTAATAGCCCTTCAAAAACATCTTTGTCAATTTGTCATATTTTTATGTATGATGCATTCTACATGAGTATTTATATAAATGGGAGTAATTCAATTACAGAATAAAAAAGGGAGATTTCTTTGGATATTACAAACTGTAGTTACTTGAAGGGAAAACATGAAATTGTAATATATTGGTATGTCTGTGAATCTTTATTATTATATAATAAAGCCATCAATGCAGACTTAATTTAGTTTTCAAGAGTTCAGAATTATTTATTCAGCTTTAGAAGCCTTTTTGTTATTTATTTTATTTCAATGTTTTCATTAACAATATGCTCAGTTCCCAACTCATTCAACAAGAATCTCCAAGGAGACGTCATTCTGATTGCAACTTTTCTGCAAGATATTTAGAATTTTAAATTATATGTAACTTTTATAAACTTTAAATAAAAATTATTAATTGAGGCAGAGAACACTTATGTTGTGGCTGAACCCACAAATTTAGTAATCAGTTCCCTGAAGATGAAAAATTTTAAATAGTCATTTCATTATAGATTAATTTCAAGTCTTGACTGCATTAATGATCTCCTGGTAGAGCTCTCTATGAATTTCTAAACCCCAAATGCATGCACTGAGTCTTGAAGACTCGGAGACATATTTTTATTTTAGTGAGGTACCATGTGTATTCTATGTATTTTAAAGAATACTCATCATTTATGCAGTATTTTAAATGCTTTATTGTATGAACACCTAACCTTACAAGGGTGCTAAGTGCAAAAATTAAGTTTATAAGTTAAAAAAACTCCCCTGAACCAAAGCAATTATTTCTATGAAATTTTCAGTGCTTGAAGTAACAGTGACAGTATGAAAATCAAAAATTAGGAAAGAGTCAAGTGTATAATGTCATTGCCTTACAAAAGTGATAACTGCAAAATGCTAACGTTACTACAATGTACATAAATATATAAATAATACTATGCATATATATAGAAATCAAGTATTATTATTGATTAGGTACGTAAGACTCGTATTAAGAAAAAGTTAATTAATATCAGTATGTGTCCAATATTCAAATAATTTATTTTTTACAATAAATCAGAACACAAATTTCTGTAAAAATGTTTGTGCTGCTCTGTAGGTAAATATTTTATGATGGATATCATATCATGTTTTTTTGTTTTTTCAGTCGTTGCTTTGTTGAACACATTACTCAGATTAACCTCGACCTTTCCAAGGTCTGCAGTAAACCCCTTTTTGAGAAGAGAGATCTATTCCTATTGACTGGCTCTATTTAACAAATTTCTAATAAAAACAGTGCCAGGAAATTTTGATTTTATGTATATTCACACTAGAATTTATATTCAATTTTATTGGTAATCACCTTATCAGTTACCACATTAAACTTAAGAGTTGCTCATTCATTTATTTCTAGGACAGTGAAAGGCTTCCTGAGCTTGGCACATTTGACAAGATTGTGCAGATCCTTGGTAATGTAACTTTTCATAGCCCATTTTCGCTTTTCAATTAGTGCAAAATCCCTATCACACTGCATGAAACAGTGTTCACTCACAAGGAATGTATTATCTGATTGATCAAACACGTTTGCAAGTAGAAACACACAAAAGATAATCTACCGACTGTTCTTGTTCTGGCCAATACATTATAGGAATTATTGAACAAATCCTTTTTATTTTTTCCCCCCTTAATTTCAGGTCTGTCTCTAATGGAGGTTGCTTCTTTGCAGGCATATGTTTATTTTTTGGGGTATTACATATTATTTTCCTGCTTTTAACTTCTTTCTTTTATTTTTGCTCTCTTACAGAGCCTTCAGGCCTTCTCATTTTATCATTTGATTCCATATTAACCAATTTATAGTGTACACAATTAATTTCTTAATTATAACATTAACTAACCACACCGAACACAGCAGATCAGCTGCTACAGCTATTTAGAGGAAAACTTGACTGAAAACGCACCACTTGAATTTCCACCTTTGTAAAGAAACAACATCCTTAATTAACTTTGGGGATCTGTCAACCTAGCAAGCTGAAAATTCAGAATATCTGTTGTCGCTTTTGCTGGGATGACAGATGCAGTGTAATTCCTTCTTAAGTAATATCACATATTTTTTATTTGGCATTTGGTCCCTTTGTAAGGTAAAGTATTCGAATAAATGAGCGTGGAGAAAATGAAAGGTAATTGCAGTGCAAGTGTTAGTGTGTGTATTTAATTATAAGTTAATCAATGTAAAGCTTATTAAATGCAAATCAAATCAATGCAAAACTTAATAAATGCTACAACTTCGGTATAAAAATTATTCTTGATCTATTACTGAAGGTTGTTACAATGAAAATTTGTAATAACATTTACTATGGAGACATTTGTTTATCTTTTTTAGGCAGATGCTATCTAGTAATTCTGGCATCCATGGCAAGCATAGAAGTTGCATCTTTGAGGAGACTTCAAATTAGGGTGGTTGTGATTGTTTTAGTGTGTGTATTCTGAATAGCGTCCCTCTGAGTGGCACGCATGGCACATGCCATGACTTTATTGATATGCATCTATGTTTTAGACACCCCTGCCTGAACCGATTTGTGTTCTTAGAGATGGAGTTTGGGGCACTTGATGAAAAATATTGAGTTTTTCTGCCTTTTTCCTCACATTTAAGAAGACATCAGCCTCTCTTTACTCTATTTTTGGAATTTGTTTTTTAATTGTAAAACTGGAAAATGTTATTGGAAGTTGTGTGTTTTATCTGTTACTTTAAATTTTGCTAGACTCTGCCTAAGGGAAGAGCTTATCTCTTACAAGTTCAAGACTCAGATTCTTGAGAAATAGTTGGGACTGAACTAAGGAATTCGTGATGCAGTTAGAAATTCAAAAATTAATTAAAACCAGTGCCTTTTGTCATAATACTCTTGTCACCATGTTACTGTTTGTAATACAGCATCGTGCTGGTAAATTTGAGCAAAATATTTTAATTTCCTCATGAATATAAATAAAATACCATATGTGAAGTAGAAGTATTGTACAATTTTTATGGAAAGAATTATATAAATCTAGGGAATGATGTTCATTGAAAGTGATTAGAGTAATTATGAGAAAGAACAAGATTTCTTTATTTTTCATGAAAATGTCATGAAATCACTGATCTTCATCAGTACTAAAATAACCCAAAATGAGATTTTAAATGCATGCTTAAGGGAATTCTGTAGAATGAAAAATTGTATGAGTATTTTCTCAAAAACGGATTTTCTTTTTCCTCTCTTTAAATTTTTTGCATGAATTTTGCTTAGTTCACTGAATAACATGACTTGAAATGTTATGATATGTTCTCTTCATTTTTCAAAACTTACCCATTAATTTTTTTTAATTATATCTGATGTATTATTGCCATCACAGGCTTTTTTCCCTGTTTTCTTCATTATTAAACTTGTGAGCACAAGTGCTTCAAGTGATTTCTAATCAAGTTTCTCAAAAAAGACTTTGCAATGAAAATTAGCTCAAAATTCTGTATTCTCAGAATGGTGCAAACAACATTTTCTCAAGAACAGCATAAAATTTTTCTCATAAAATTTGCTCTTATGACCAGATTTTACCTTTCTATAATATTCTTAAAGTCATATTTCAATTTCACTACAGTGCACTAGGAAAGTGTCTCCGCAGTGACACCAATGGCTGGTGAGAGTGCTAGCAAGAGAAATTATGTTGGTAGCAGGAAATGCAACTTGTGAGAAATGAAAACGTAAATGGTTAACTCACCACAATCATAACATATGCTGGAGGGGTCGCCCCCCTTTCCGTGTTATCTGGTTGCTATGAACATGATGCAATTTTTAATAAGAGCCTCTGATTCGGCTCGATGCAGATTTTCCTGGCGCACAATATAAATATTAAGCGACAAGAGAATTAAGAAAATATCTAATCGGGTATCAGTTGGTAACAGCTGGGAAGAGGGTGGGGCATAACTGAAAAGCTATAATAAGACTGAAGATATTAGAAAACCAACTAGTGCAAGAAAGTCTATGTCTTCCTGTCCCATCACTAGTTTACATAGGAATGTATCCATTAGGCCTGAGGTTTTCTTTTCAGAAAAATCGGTTTTGGGAAGTAAAATGTAGAAAAGGGTCTTGGAACTGCAGTTTTAATTAAAAAATTCTGAACCAAATACATAAATGTAGTTCTTACACAAACTACAATTTTTGTATAAATCTCTTGTTTACTGCAGGAAGTTTTTCCTTCTGGTGTTGAATATTCATTTCCCACTGCTGGATATATGCAAAATTTCTTGAAACTATTAAATGAAGGTAATAATTCTGTTATGCTCTTCGACAATAATATTACCTCCTATATTTCTTGGTGTTTGGGGAAATGTAATCAAACAACGGTGACAACATTACTTAGGGATTTTCCTTTATTATTTCTGCATTTTAATTGCAGAACAGTGCTCCTGTCAACATACGTGTTGTTATTAATAAGAAACTGCACATTATGAATGGTACACTGGAAAAGTTTAAGAATTCAGGTGGTGCGTATCAAATGTGACTTAGTACACGTTAAATTACTAATATGTTGATTCTATTTAACTTTACTTGCTACATAATGACTTGCCCTTGAAATTCCAGGAATATAAAACCACAAACTATGAAGTCAAGAAACAACATATTTTTGTTTTTAAGTTTTTAACCAGCTGTTAATAAATGGAACTTCACATACATATCTGCATACTTCAGTAGCAGCTATTGTAGTTTTACTTACTCTCCACCAGGGTTGAAATCAATAGCCAAAAAAACCCAGACTGAATGGTACTAATGTATGATACATATGCTATGCTAAGACTGTTACTTACTGGAAGCTAATTGTATCCCTCGTATGTCACAACACAATTTCATGAAAGGTTTTTCCACTTCAACTGCTGTTGGAATCGTTCATTAAATTCTTGGAGATTTGGAAGCAAACAGAAAAGTAGCAAGTATATTCATTGACCTTTCAAAGGTATTTTATAGCGTGTCTCACAAAATACTCTTACAAACAAAGCTGGACAGTTTTTGAATGAGGGGTTGAGTTATGAATGACTTCGAAAGGTCATACCTCACAGAATGTAAACAAAATACAGACATTTTCTGGCATTCTGAAAACATTTCATTTTTTTAAAATAAAATGTTGATACAGTCACCACAGGTGTACTGCTAATATAAGTGCTAAGGCCATTGCTATTTCTGGTATGTGTTAACAGAGTTTTAAGTACCTGTGGAATCTCTGTAACTTCTTATGGAGATGACTCAGTAAGTAATGAGTCCAATTTAAGTTGACTGACATAATCCTGATCTTACCTTGAATCTTCGGTACTATATGGTTACGTTATTATCATTTACTTCTTTTATTGTATCATATTTTTGGTCTTCGTTGCAGGAGGAGTTTGAGCCTCCAATTGCCGTATCTCTTGAAGATCCTCCAGTGAAGCAAGAAACAGCTTGTAGTGACGAAGAGAAGGTAATACTAGCAGTTTATCATTATTATAATAATTATTATTTCAACCATACAATGAATATCAATTGTGATGAGATTCCTTGCAAAGATTTAGCCGCAAGTCTTTTGTACAGAAGAAGGGACGGACAGACATGTTTTGATGTAAATCAATGTTTCAATATCAAGTTCCCTCAAAACGTGGATTTTGACGACGAAATAATTTTTAGGAGGGGGGGGTCAAAATTGGCATGGTCAACTTCTGTAAGACCTGTGCGGAATTGACGTGAATGAACAGACATGCTAGTCGCACAAAATGCTGGAAACCGTGATTTCGAACCCGAATCCGTTGCTGTCACATGTCTGCGCATGCGTATCTCCCTCATGTTCCTTACTACTGCACTTCAGTGAGCGCGAGAAAAGCAAGACTTGCTTAGTGGCCAGGAGAGAGCAACACGAAATGGCTCGCGATGAAACAGCGTGCTCGTTGCCTAGTGTGGAGCGATCACGTGTCCGGAACTGGTTTCGTTAGAGTTTGAGACTCGAAGTCTCTTGACGAAACATACAGCAAAGTCTGCAATGCGAAATTTAGTGGCAAAATGGCGCGAAACGGACTTTTCAGCGAATTGAACCGTAGCTCTCCGATAAGAGTTCCAACGCCAATAAACATTTCTCTAATGAAGGAGAGCCTTGAACAAAGAGTGGTCGGGAGAGGTGGCTCAGGGCATCACCTGAGTCACTGCAGTCCCTCTGACCTCAGTCCTAGGTTCGAGTCCCAACGCTGCCAAGAGTTTCGACCCTAGCCTGTCAGCTAGGTCGGATTCAGTCGCTGTCTGGAGAAGAATTCTAGCGGCCAGCTGCTCTGATCGGTAGTTTTCCGTGTTTTCTCCGATCAACACCAGGCAAATGCCGGAGCAGTTCCCTAACAAACGGGCTACGGGCCGCGCGCACGATCTCTCTCCTTAACAAAAATATCTCTATACTCAGTATATTGCACTTTTGCGGGGTTCATTTTTTGTTTGCAATTTTCGAAACTACAAAGTGCGCAACAAGTAGGATCAGCACCACGTTCTTTACCGTTGCTTGCTACATACGACGAAAGATTAAGAAACATTTGGAGTCTTTTTTGAGAAAATAGTTGTTAAACATTGTTTCAGAATTGCCTGTTTCACGCGAAATGGCGCAGAACGTAGTACTAATATTCTCGGAATATTATACATGACCTTATTTGAAGATCTATTTTTATGAACAGATTTTATCAACGAAAACAATTAAATCTTTAATAATGTAGTAGTGGGAAGAAGCCGAAGAAAGTTAAACTTATGGAATATTTGAAAACTCGGAGTTCAACGAAAGTGCGACCTACGACATTACTTTAAATATTTTCTCTATCCGAGGAAAAAGGAGCAATTTTTTAGAAAGGTTTGAAAATGTTTCAGCTTCTTATAAAGTCCCTCCAAAAATAAAAATATCAGTTTCATATTCAAGGGGCCGCGACATCAGTCAGATCGATTGGAGAAATACCAATTTTGACGAAAATAATTATTCTTAAAGCACGGTTTAGCCGCTAGCGTTATTGTCTGGCCAACGTTTTGCCGTCAATCGACTTTTTGGCATCAAAGACCCACAAAACATGGATTCTGACTTTACATCGTGTTCGAAGTAATTTACTACATACAGGAAGAGATTTATCCACTTTATCGTTGCAAGGGCCCGACAATAAGGTGATTTAAAAAATATATTGCCGTTTATTCCCGGAGCATGTCAGGTCTTTGTCCATACTCTTAAGCAGTACGCGAATCAGAGGTGAGCCAAGCCGTTCCTTCGCTGAAGTAACGCCAGCGCTCACTTAAGGTACAATTACGGAAATGAATTCCTTCGTTTACACCCTGTGTCACTGGGAGCGAAACTAAATATTTTTGTCACGTCGTGAAATGTAATTAACGAAACTGAAATGTTGTTCAAACACCTGGATAGAAACTAAAATCCTGTCATGAGTGAACGAAACCAAATTCCCATTCACAGTGCAGTTTCGTTCCAGAAGCAGTTCTGCTACTAGTCGGTAGATTTCGTCGATGCGCCTAAGACTAGTTTCGTTACATACATTAGTTTATGTGAACCAAAACAAATACGCAATGTCTAATTTCGCCTTGCAGTACTTCCCTTCTGACGACCGAAACAAAAACAAAACACTCACCTCCAAACTATTTCTATTGGATTCTTTATTCATCTCGACAAACCATGTCTCGATGCACCTTCGTCTTGTTTTTCCGAACAACCTGCAAATTTTGCGCAATTTGGAAAAATTACCTTCGGCACCTCCTCTCTTGCTGTTGCTCTCTCTCTCTCTTCTCTTCTCAATACTCTCTCTCTCTCTCTCTCTCTATCTATCGTATCCTTTGTCTATTATCATCTCATACTAAATATATCTCTCTCTATATCTATCTCTCTCTATATCTATCTCTCTCTATATCTATCTCTCTCTATATATCTCTCTCTCTATATCTCTCTCTCTCTCTATGTCTCTCTCTCTCTATATTTCTCTCTATATCTCTCTCTCTATATCTCTCTCTCTCTATATCTCTCTCTATCTCTATCTCTCTCTATCTGTATCTCTATCTCTCTCTCTATCTCTCTTTCTCCCCCCTCTTTCTCTCTTTCCCCCCTCCCTTTTCCCTCTTATTCTTTTTCACCTCTCTGCATGTTGCGACGTCAGCTCCTACTCGCCTCGGTCTCCAAATGGCATCACCCAGCAACAATGAGTTACGCAAGGGTACTGTTAAAATGTTACTTTTCAATATCTTATAGTGATTATTTATTGTGTTTTTTTCATTAGGAACCGCATTCGTCGTGGCGTGATAGTGTTTGCGGTGCTGAAATAAAACAAGATACCACTTCATGTTCCCCAGGTAGGTGTAAGATAATTTGTTATTAAATTCGTGAATATAGATTACAAACCATTTTGGAGGTAAGAATACAAACACTGCAGACGGATGTTTCCAAATCGCAATTTTTAAATTGTTGTCCCAATAAGGAGATAATATTCGTAAAATGAATCTAATAGGTCACAATTATCGGCTGAAAACAGTGGCAGACAACAATTTGGTGATTCACGTAATTGTTAGGGAAGCAAAATGTCCAATTTTCCGTTGTTTAACATTAATGAATGTGGACACTCAGGAACAAGAATTTTCAGACGATGTAATAAAAATTGTAGAGAATTATTTAAAATTTTGCTCTAAATACAAATCATGAACTTTTTTTCTTCTCTCAAATTCTTCCAATTTGGATTTCAATGATTATTCCCGTGAACACTTCATGGTTGGTTGTTAAGTATAATATGATTTATCTTTTAAATTTTTCTGTGGATTTGTTTTATCCATGTGTTCTGTTGCTAGATGGAGAGAGTTTTGCATCAGATAAAGACTCCAAAACCCAGCCACGCCGGAGTAAAAGTGCGGCTTCGGATTGCATCCATAAGAGTAGCTTTTCTGAATATGGCCAGACCATGGATGGCAGGCTCGCGCACACAAACGTGCGCATTCTCACTGGCAAAAAACCTTTTCAATGTTCCGTTCAGAATACTCAGAAGTGGACCGCGCAGCGACACATGCGTCCCCAAGCTGATGAGAAATGTTCCATCAGTGAGAAGGCGATCGTTAAAGAGGGAGGCTCGCGTGATCACTTTCTCAACCGCACGAATGAAAAGGTTTTTCAGTGCTCCGTCTGCGGGAAGGCAATCACTCGTAAACGGAACTTGCAGATACACATGCGCATCCACACGGGTGAAAAGCCCTTTCAGTGTTCCTTCTGTGAAAAGAACTTCTACAGAAGAGAGGACTTTGATAACCACTTGCGCACCCACACTGGGGAAAGGCCTTTTCAGTGTTCCATCTGCGAGAAGAGGTTCACTCAAAACCGGACCTTGCGTGGCCACATGCTCATCCACACCGGTGAAAAGCCTTTTCAGTGTTCCATCTGCGAGAAAGCATTTACTCTAAAGTGCAACTTGCTTACTCACATGCGCACCCACAGCGGTGAAAAGCCTTTTCAGTGTTGCATCTGTGAGAAAGCGTTTAGTCTGAAAAATATCTTGCAAAAACACATGCGCATTCATATGGGTGAAAAGCCTTTTCAGTGTTCCTTCTGTGAGAAGACTTTCTATGAAAAGAAGGTCTTGGATAACCATTTGCGCACCCACAGCGGCGAAACGCCTTTTCAGTGTTCCGTCTGTGAGAAGTCGTTTACTTTAGAGAATAACTTGCGTAGGCACATGCGTGTCCACGCAGATAAAAAGCTTGTTCAATGTTCCGTCTGCGGGAAGGCGTTCACTCAAAAGAGTAACTTGCAGGTGCACATGCGCATCCATACCGGTGAAAAACCTTTTCAGTGTTCCGTGTGTAAGAAGGCCTTCTGTAGAAAAGACAACTTGGAGAAACATTTGCGCACCCACACAGGTGAGAGGCCTTTTCAGTGTCCCATCTGTGAGAAGGCGTTCACTAACAACGGAAGCCTACATGGCCACATGCTCACCCACACCGGTGAAAAGCCTTTTCAGTGTGCCATCTGTGAGAAGGCGTTTACTCGAAAGAAGCACTTGCGTGACCACTTGCTTACCCACTCCAGTGAAAAGGCTTTTCAGTGTTCCATCTGCGAAAAGGCGTTTGCTCTAAATAGTATCTTGCGCAGGCACATGCGTGTCCATATGGGTGAAAATCCTTTCCAGTGTTCCTTCTGTGAAAAGACCTTCTACAGAAAAGAGGACTTTGATAATCATTCGCGCTCTCACGCCGATTAAAACATATTTTCTGCGTTCCAACTGTGCGAAGACGTTAACTAAAGAATAACACTTATGCGCATACCCATCCACACCGGTGGAAAACCTTTTCAGTGTTTCTGTGAGAAAATGTTCCTTGAAGATTGGACATTGGATGGTCACGTGCACACCCACTGATTAAAACATTTTCAGTATTTTAACTGTAAGAAGACGTTCTTAACGAAGGGGCTCTTGTATGTTCTTAGGTGCACCCACATTGGTGCAAAACCCTTTCCAAGTGTAGTGTATAAAAACTTTTGTATTATTTACCATGAAGATGAGGTCACTTTTTGACTCAAAACGTCGCAAAAAATTACGTGTTATAAATGTAAATAGCTGTACAATGTCTATGTAAGTTTATAAGCATTGTTTATGACTTTGTACTTCTTCTATATTCAGAGCATATTCCTAAGAGCCGCAAACAGTCGCCCTCCAACGAAATAACATGAAGGAGATGGCCGACGTCAGAAAAACATACGAATTAGATGTAAGGTTGTTTATTTAATACTATGTCGCATTTAGGATGTTTACGTTCCTCAAAACAGGCCGGAAAATGAGACTTTACAGTACAGTGTACAGTAATGAAATCTCATACCAATTTACGAACGTGCAAATTTTGTACCAACGTTTCTGATAAATACATGGCCAGCGCCAATGACGTACCATAGTTAATTACAATAATGATAAGAAAACTTTCATTCATGGAAATTGTTGAGAGTACTGTACGAGGACAAAAATAGAGAACAAAGTCTTATGATGAAGCTAACATTACATATTAATTTACCATGTTTTATTTGTACTTTTCCAGAAACCAAATTTTTCATATTTATTTTTTGTCTTCCGATTTCTGAGGAATAATTATTCATATTCTTCATTGGATTCATGTACAATCAATTTCCGATATGTCCCTTCATCTTTGAATTCCATTTTAAAATCTTCAGAACACTGGAATTGTCTCGCACTGAAGATTCTAGGAGGCTTTGTCGCCGTGGACACTTCTTTATTAGCACTCGTACATCGTAAAATTAAAAGAAAATTAAGGGAATGCAATATAGTATCAAATAAAACGTGTCACGGTATATGGGCGGAAATATTAAATTACTCGTCAGAAATCTTAGCCTCAGCCTATAACGTCATTTCGGGTGGAAACGTCTCACTCTTATGTAACATTTTCCGTCCTAGTGACGTAAATTACTATTTTAGTAGCGCTTGCGATCACGTGTAATCTCCAGTCACTAGAGAATCATTTAATCGCCATCTTTCATTTACGGACAAATAAAATTCGTGTGTAATCAAGATCAATAATTTCTGTGCGTTATGCTTGGTATTTCTCCCTGCCACAAACACTTCCAGTATTTCAGAGCAGACGGGCAATCGCAGCAGTGAGGTAAGTCGGGAGATTTCGGATCACCTCCGCAAATCAGCCGATCGCTGGCGACGAACAGCTTTAGATTTAGATTTATTTAGTCAAAACACAGTAAAAAACTGTACGTGACGTTTGGGAGAGAAGAAGAGGAGCGTGTGGGTACAAGTAGACCCACAAGTATGCCCCCCGACCCGGGAGCAACACCCGATATTGGGCGAAAAGCAAGCAAGCAAAAAAACTGTGCGTTGTACTGATAGGAGTGGATAGCTAGTCCTGGGAATGTGCTCTTAGACTTATGTGCACACGCCGTTCAGTTCTCTTCAGTCTTCAGATTTTTCCTCTAAAATTACATAAATGTACTATTTTGAAATATTTCTCACGGCGTAAATATGCGTATTTCCAGCAATTTGTAAACACTGTAGTATTTGTGAGTTAAAGTACTTGAAATAAACGTTTCTGCGAAGAGGACCTTCACATTTCGAATTTACAGTTGCGGTTACGGGCCATTGTAATAAAAACAGTTTCAGTTTTTTCAAAGAAAGCTGCCATTACGGACAGTGTTATTGTTCTTAAATATATTCAGAAAATAATATTTCCGTTATATTATTAGGAAACCGAAAAATTAAGAAAATGACAAAAAATGTACCTTGAGCGGCGATAGATGGCAGTTGGCAAAAGTATGTGGCAAGTTCGTATAGCTAGCAGAGACCAATGGAAATAGATATGTAATACGGGAAAGTATGTGCCATTCTGTAGCACCACTAGTTAAAGTAAGTATTGTTGTGTAATGACAGAAGGAATTGTTTCGGTATTCCCATTACTATTGCATTGCAATTTTTTTGCAGGTGTCACACAATTTAATACATCACTTCTGCTTCTTACGGTCTCATTGAATGGAAAATATCAAAAAAAATCCAGAAAGCTCTATTGGGAGCACAAGCACATTAAAGGATGTAAAATATGCTGAAAAAAGTTGAAAGAGCAAGGCGTTTTTGAGCTGTGGACACCGGACCCCGGTGACAGGCGGTTATGTGGTTTGTGCTCTCTCCATCACTTCCCTCAATAGCTTGCACGTGGAATTGATGTTACAACTAGAGACTTTAAGCTTAAAAATGTAATCATGTTTGCTCGCCACGAATAGTAGGTTCATTTGTTTTGCAACTTGGCTATGATTTCTAACAGTGCTTGAAGATACTTTAGCACCGATTATGTCAAGCGTGGAGTCACACCATTTCATCATGTGACTCATATGTCAATGTGATCTTTTTTTAAACTCTAAAAATGATTTTATTAATTAACAATTAGACACCCCTAGGATGATATGGTGAAATGTGAATTTGAAATTCACGAGTCTAAATGTAACTCGTGGAATATTGTATGGTCATAGAGAGTGTTTATAATTAAATTCGAGTACGTCAAAACAATAAAGCAGGTATTTTTCTAAATCTGTTTATATATGTTTATTAGATCGCTTTTCATTCGTACCTTATTTCCTACCTGATCCCGTCTCTCTTAATTTCATGGGTAATCAGTATCCAGAGATGTGAGATATTCCCCTTTCTAAAAAAAGGAGGTAAATTTCCTTATGAATTTGAAAGGTTGTGAGGAGAGAACGCAGCATAGTAGAATACTGTGAAGAAACAAACTTCTGCTGGGTGTACGTGGTAAGATTTTCTATAAGACGAATTTTATAAAAATATATTTACATAATTTTTGATAAATATAGGCAGTAAATGTTGGGTTCCTGCAATGCAAAATGCAATGGAAAACAAATGTTTTTATGGAATTATTGTCGAAAATTGAAATACAATGTTTTAATTAAGAAATAAGAAAAAAACATTTCTTAAAATGGATATTTTAAGAACGTGTTAACGTATTAAATACTATATGGTTCTGAAAAGTAAATATATTTAATTTACTAGTGCAAGTTAGAATACGTAACTACTTCCGTCCCCTCGCCATTTATTACGTTTTTATTAAGTTAACTAAATATGCTCATTAATTCCATGAAAAATCGTTGATTATCTCTATATTAATAGCATGCGTGCAATTAAAACTCCACAACTATCAATCGGAATTCAAAAAAGAATCAAAATCGTTTAATTAAGACATCATAACAATGACGTAGCCAAGGTATTTCCATTCGGCCATGAAACCTGAGCTAAAAGTACTTCACAGATCCTACATTAACTACATATAAACAATGAATGAGTATAACTAAATGGGTGAAGTATACATTAATCTAGCTGACTAATGGAACAACATAATATATTGAACATGAATAAATTAAATGTGTTACATGAAAAACATTTGGTTTTAGCATTACAAATGTAAAACAATATGTAAACGTACCAGTTCTAAAAAGCACGCCTGCAGAACTGTGACAGAAGTGACTTTCTAATGTCAATACACGTATTCTCTCCCTTACATGTCTTACTCTTTCCTGGGAAGTAATTTTTAAGCTCTTTATTAGCTTCTAATGTTTTATCCGAAATAAGTTCTTTGCCCTGTAAGACACTATAGTGATCATACGTACACATTGCATGGCTCACTAAAATAGGCCTGTTAGAAGCCATGCGACGTCATCAAATGTAGGCTTCGAATGTTAAATATGTGCTTGAATTTCTCAAAATTTAAGTGACTCTTAAATGTAAACGAAAAAATACTGAACGTAACATTGGATAAAGGGATTTAATTGCACTCATGGTAAACAAGGAAACTCGCACCTGTCGTCCCTCGTTTTCTCGAACTCATGTAATTATACCCATCTTTATTCACTCGTTACGTTAATTACTATAATGCTTATTAATATTATTTTATTTTCTTGAACCGCATTCACTAGTAGTAATTGCAGCAACGTTGCAATGAAAATGAAATATGTAATCTGAATAAAAAAAAGCTGAACTTATTTATTTAGAAAGTTATGATGGATTGTAAGTGCTCTTTAAATTGTTTATTCATGTTTTTGTTATTGAAATTGGTTTTAAAAGTAACAATATCAATCAAAATTAAAAGTGACTTTTTTTAGCGTATGTCATTAAAATGTTCGTGGTTTACAAACGAGCTATGGCAACTCTCTCAGAATCTTCTAGAAATCTGCGCTTGCACCGTCTGAAACTGTGACGTATCTGTGACGACTTTGAGTTCACGTGACGATTCAAACGCAAATGAAATGAATGTGACGGTTTGCGACAAGTATTCAGGATTTGCGGTGCTGCGGGGCTCTTCACGCCTGTTCATTTGCAGTTGAGAAGCAAGATAGTTCGGTAGACTTTCCTTGTGGTTACCTCATACGGAGCGATGCAGTTGTGTATCTTGTTGCGGCTGTTGTTAGGTAAGCAATTCTCAGTTATTTGCAATAACATTGTAATTTTTTTTTTGTGAGTATGATTTTATTAGAATATTAGGCGTTTATATTTCACTGTACGTTTTTATAGTTATTAGTTACGTTTGTTACACAGTTCTATACTTTAAATAAAGAAAACCTTACTTTCGGAAAGTAAAAAGTGGAAACTACTTATTGTCCACTAAAATAATTTGAAATGTAATATCAAAAAGACGAAGTTTTTGAGAAAATGCATGGACCTATGGCTGCGTGACACATGGACACGTGCTGTAAAGGTTACAATATTTGGGATAGTTCAATAGTTTACACCACATCATAAAGATGCATAATCTATGAAATATACAATCCAAAAATTTTCTGATTTGTAGATAGTGTCCGTTTTGGAGGAGCTCGGACTCAATAGATGCGGTACACATGGTGACGACGCAAAGGGAGTTTGGAGTGAGATTTGCTGAATCTGCTTTTATAGTAAGTTTACGTATTGAATTTATAGACATCTTGTTGAATTTGTCAGTGCACCTTAATCATGGTCCAATATATAAGAGAATAAGTTTTATTTTGTTTAAATGAAGGCAAGGTTTGTTTATCAGAAGTAATGAACTACATGGAAGTGTTCATTTTGTAGAAGTTTCGTAGGTTTAGTATTTCCCTTCAATCGGAAATAAGATTGTTGAATTCCTTTATAGGAGTTTTTCATGAAGTGTGCTTATTACTGTCATTGAATATAGAAATAAGGATACTTTAACAACGGAATTCTCAGTAATGACTATCATTCGGAGTTTCATTTTATTTTTTGAGATGGAGAAAGATTTATTTTATACACGTGCATTTTTCTTGCGTGTGGATTAATTTCAAAGGGTACAGTTATTTTAACGGAGACTGTATTGTAAGTCAGGAGTTTGATGTACGCAAAAAATATTTGGCTTAAGCCTGGTGTATGGTACAACTTACAGAAGTTATTTAAACAGGCACATCGCGCCGCTCCGGTGGCCTCTGCGTAGTTTGAATTGTGGAGGCTTTCTTGAAAAGTGCTTTCTTATAAAAGTGAATGGGTAATTAAGTGGTGAATACTCAAGGATGTTTATAGTGAACGCGAGGGTCGAAGGCCCGAGCCTCGCCGTGACTTGGATTCGGGAGAGCGAAACGAGAAACCTTGCCTTTGAAAGTAAATTGGCGTTAAAATGCGATGTAGACATATTGTATGAAGAGCCAGCCATGATACACCAAATCGCCTCTCTGAAACTTTTATCGCGTAGCGTAATTTCAGGGGGAGCTTAAGGAAACACCCCCGCCACTTTGCTTCTTTGAGGGTATACAGTGTGCCTTATTTTTACCTAATATTTTAATAAGTATTGATGTTCGCAATTAATTTTTAAGTTTGAAAATGGAAAAATTAGTGTGAATGGAAGGCGAAATCCTGCAATGGAAGAAAGGTCATGAGGGGTTTAGGGCCTTGGGTGGGAACAAAGAGATAACCTTCGGATGAAAAGTGTCTAACTTGGCGTGAAATTATGTAGGAAGTTCAGCCCATTTGAGGGATTGAACACTTACTTGTTCAGAAGTTACGTTCATGAATAATGGATTTCGTTTCATTTCATTCCATTTCTAAATCCAATGTAGCAATTGCTCATAGCGTATGACAATTATTTTTTAGAAGTGAACGGAAATTACATGCAATAAATAGTATGTATTGCAAAGCTTTCCACACTAGATCAAAAGTAGTGAATTGATTAAAACACACCTCATTAATACATATCACAATAAATCAAGTTTATATATATTTTCGCTTTTTTGCTTGAGATGCATAAATGATGCAATAGTAATCTAAGTTTATTATAATTAGTACTAACATTTGAGACGTCGGTCTTTCTTCCTTCATAATGTTTTTTGTGAGAATGGTTTTCGAAGGAGGCAAGCTTGATTTGTATGAACGTTTTAATTTGAGTTTTAAAGATTTTTTTTTTTTTTTGAAACCTTCATAAAGATTAGTTCTTAAATTATTTGATCGTTTAGATTTATATCTTGGGGTAATTTTTATTATAATATTAACGATATGAACATTATAGTTTATTAACATTTTGGTTCCTGATTATATAAAGGACATCGGATTTCTGCATATAAAACCTTTTCAATTATGAAAATTTACGGTAATATTTATCTACTTGCTTAAGATTTTCATTACCACTCCATAGTGTGAAAATTTCCGAATCGTTGTTTGGTCCGGTAGGCGCAGAGGCGCACTTTCGGCCAATGCATACTACACACCCTGTACCTTATGCTATCATTCAATCTGAAGCTAATATGTATGTAATATATTTAAGTAAAGTTGTTTGTCTGCGGTAACTCTTTGAAGGTATGTTTCAATGCGTGGGACTAAAAACCTTATTTACGTCAGAAACGGTTAAAAACTGTATGACGTGCTACGGGGAGAAGTTAATTTGAAGTTACATTTATGTCCAGAAGCAAAACAAGGGGCCCATCTCAGCCTTTGCTCAAGGATCAGGGAAACTGGACAAAAAAGTGATTGAGATGGAGGTCATTGACCCAGAAGCTGAAGTACAATAATCGTTACAGGTTCTTTACAATTATACAATCCAAATGATACATAATACATTAAATGTCATTTTAAAAATTAATATTACTCTTCTTTTGGATGCTCAGTATAGTGTCTAATTGTATAGAAACAGTTGTGCAGCAGAAAAGATTGTACTTGGGACTTAAGTTTTTGTATCGAATTTAATCGTTTAAATGTCATTTGGCAAGGTGTTGTAAAATAATGTACTTGTATTATGTGAATATTTTTTTATAGTGAGCTGTGGATAGTTACCTCATGAATGTGATTACTACGTCGAGTGTTCTAGTTATAGACAACGGAGTTTGCTGAAAATGTATTCCCGCTCTTAAGAAAGACATTTTTGACAAATACCACTGACTCGTATATTAAGAGACAATGTAATGGTAAAATACCTAGATTAATAAAGAGGCTTACAAGAATTACGTGGGTGGGAGTTGCTTGTTCGTACAATTGGTTTTTGTAATATAAAAATCTAGGAACTATTAGATGTATTTCCCCAGAATATTATGCCATATCTCAGGCGGGAATGAACATACGCGAAAGATACACAACGAGCAGTGTGGAGGCTGACTGAATGAATGAACCTGTGGAGAATATGCGTGAATGTATTATGTCGGGGATATTAGAATGTAGGAATGCGGCGAAGCTAGTCGCAATCTACATTCACTTACGATCTTTGGGCCGCATTAGACACGGCTGTTCACGAGGACAGTTACTCACTGCACGTAATAAAATAGTGGCAGTTTTTGATGTATTGAATTTGTGACGAGGTGGGCATGAACAAAAGCTACGCCCTTACGGGATATAGAACAAATAGCATAGATTTCGTTAAAAGTAGCTACTAGCATTTACTCAGCCACGGTGGTTTTTGTACGCCTAGATAAAGATAGCAAAGATATAAAGAAAGGCAAAGATATAATTTACAAATACAATAACTCTATACATTAAACTTGAATTGAAATAATTAATCGTGTTGTGAATCGCACATTCTTTCTTTAAACATTTTCTTGTCTTGGAGTTTTTAAAAATTTGCAGAAATATAGAAACGTGCATTATTTTTAACAAGAAAATACAAATGAACTGAAAGTAAACATATAATAAATATTACCTCCCACCCACCTTGATAGTTTACTTTTAAGTTATCTTCTCAATTCGAACTCTGTGTTTTCCGGTTTTTATATTCCTTTTCGATTGTTGCTTTTTGGCAAAACAATTACGGATGTTTAAAAAAATCTGTTAAAGAATGTAAATTAAAAAATTCTCCATACAACTTGCACCTGTGTTTAAGTGTGTTTAGTCGCTAGTGAGAATGTTGTAAAAGTCTTTGCATGGTCGAGGTTTGACGAAGTCTTTCACCTACGGAACATTACCAGTTGGTTTGCTCTGTGATTTGTGCTAGTAATTTTTAACAGCGTGGTTGAGGTTTGTGGATCTTGGTAGTACTTCTAAACTCTTTGTTAGATGAAGTCTTCACTGAAGTGATGAAAGAAGGTGAAAATTAAGATTTTCAATTGAAGCAGTCTATAAATAAATTCAACATGGTTTGTAAAAGGAGTCAAAGGTAATTTCTTGTATTGCCTTGGACTACTTGCCAGGAAATTGGGATTTTTCATTGAAGTGAGATCACACAATGGTGTAAAAGATTTATTTCCATTTTCATTTTCTATTTATTGAAATAAGGTACATAGGTCAGTACAACGGTTTTTTTATAAACTTAATCATTTTGGAGACTTGAATGAACCCTTAGGAGCTTAATTCAAAATGTAACTACTCAAGTGTAAGGAAGTTCAGGAAGCGCCTTTCTTATTCTCAAACTCGAACTGAAAGTTCAAAAATACTTGAATCGGGAACGTTGTTAATAATCTTCTGGGAATCATTGATTTGAGCAGGGTTAAATTAGAATAGATGTTAATTTGTTAAATGCTTGAGTAGAATTTGCTGGAAATCTTGGTAATGAATGGAATTCTGTATGCGACATTTGTAACACTGTAAATTTGATGCGAACCGAAGGGCCTCTGTAATCGTTCTGAGGTATTTATTTTGCATACGTTGTAATAGGTAAGATACGTTTTGTTAGGAGCTACTGCATTGTTCAGAGATGTTACCTCTGAAATTAATAAGTGGTTGAAGTTGGATCTTTACTTTTGCATGGTGAGTTTTTTGCATTTATAGGGCCATTCCCTTGTAGCTTCGTGTACAATTTTGTCTAGAGTATTTGAAGTTTTGATGGCGGGAAGAGTAAGCAATTGAGTTACTGATGTGGAGGGTGGATAAACATTTTTCCGAGAGTAAAGATTTTTGCATTTGATGTTGAGGCATTGAGTCTGTTTCGATTTTAGACTATTCATCTTTGTCTAGATGCCTTTGTATCTCGTTTCTTACGATATTAAATAACTGGACCCACAAACAACGGTGTCGTCAGGGACTTGGCCGATGTTGGTATTGGTTACTAGTGGGAGGTCAACTACGTATAGTTAGAAAGTCTGATATAACGAAGATCCTTGTGAGAGGCCTTCTTATATAATTCTGGATTGCGATTGTTCATAGTAACTGCGAAAGGTCTATCCAATAAGACTGTTGAGTGGATATACAGGGGTGCATATTGATTTGAACTTGCATGTGAGACAGATGTCACGTCAGGCACGATTTTATCGCTTTTCTGAAAAGCTTCCTGAATAAATTCACCGATTCTTAGTAATTGAGGAGACTGAAATAGTGTTAATGAATCCAAATTGGTGAGGGAGGGCCTTGGTTTTATTTGTGTACAGTTTTAAAAATTTAAGAATTGTTATCCGCGCACGTTTCCTTGAGCCCTTGTGGGGTGGAGAGTTTGGTTATTTTGATAAAAGGAATTTTACGTCGCATTTGTACTTCATTTTTTCCATGCAAGATAGTTTTTAACACACGGGGGTGAACATTCCCCGTCAACAGATTTTGTCTAAAACTCTCATTGCTATAATTTATTCTTAATGCAACTAATGTTAGGAAAGGAGTGGAGGTAGATATTCAGGGGCTCAAAAAATCGTGCGGATATAATATCTAATACCGTGGTGAGGATACTGATCGTTCTCTAACTTTAAGGATTTTATAGATTTTTCTTGGGCTTGGGTACCGAAGTCATATTAAAGAACTTCCTGTTTGAAGTGTATCCGAATCTAAAAATTGAATTATGTATGTTTAGGAATGCTATTGTTCAATGGGATATTTTTGAGAATGTTGGAGATTGTTTTTGATGAAAAAAAAATTATTGGATAGCACTGTAATTAGGGACGTGGTTTCTGGAGGGATAGAAAATTTTAAGTGCAAATTTTAAGTTAAAGTTTGGGACAGGGGATGATGGACTTGCATAGTTGTGAACCGAGTGAGAGGAAGATGGTATGAGAATGATTAACTTGATCTACCAATATTTCGGCGGAAGTAGCACTTGTCTATAGGCGTCTTTAACTGAAATAATATTGATCTTAGTTTAGAATTCGTTTGGTAGATGGCCAGTGTTGTCACGGGTGTTACCGATTGGATCATACGTCGTTTAACAAATTTAACAACAAAAGCTGTTAAGAATTATCAGTGTCTTTAGTTTTTTTCGTATGGTGTTTTTAGTTTTTATTCATAGTACTCTGGTTCTGTTTCTTGTTTTAATTATGTTTAGCGTGTATTTGGGTAGTGAGGTGTTTTGGGGAATAGTTTTGATAATTGAGCTAATTATGTGGTATTAAATTGTTTAGGGTGATTATCGATTATTCTATTTCTATCTTGGTATTTAAAGCTTGAATTTCGGTGTAGAATTAATAAGTATGGTTTCAGGAACATGAAGGTTCCCGAATTAGTTTTGTACGTAATGTAGGAGAAGGTGAGTGAGAAGTGTGGAGTTGTGTCGAGATAATGACGGGTAGGTGATGAATAAAGTTCTCACAGCGTGTTTATGAAAAATTTAATTTTGGAGTTGCATGTGGCAAGGGTATAGGGAATCTTGTTAATGTCCTTCGGGAGAGGAGTTCCATTATCTGGTGCTAGTATTTACAATTAGAGATCAGATATTTTTGTACCTACCCACTGAATTGTAAATTCTACAACCGCAGGATGCGTGTTTAGCGTTTCTCTTAATATTATGAGGGGAAATTGTAATTGTTTGAATGTATAGCATTGGCGTGGGCGATGAAAGTTAATTTCCAATATTTACACTGAGCTTAGGTGTATCTACTGTTAGTATTAGGAAGGATGGGGTTGAAATGTGGAATGTATTTTGTGGAAGAGAGAATTGGAAAGACTTAGCGTGCGGGTGGGAAGAGTATTAATAAAGTTACAAGTTTTTCTTGCTGTGTCCAGACTGTTTTGGTTGCATTTTAAGAGGTTGCTCTGTTGTATTTTTACCAAATTATCCGTTTACGAAAACTATCACTTCCGATGGAACAAATCTCTCACCATAGCATGGAAGTTGGCTACTAACCTATTGAGGTCTATCTGGCAAAATCACCGTAGGAAACATTTGTATCTTGGGCTACCGTCTTGAAACTTGAAGTTGAAATGGCCGCTGAGGTGTTGAATTCCCAAACTGTCCATGTCGAGGGTCTGCCTTCCACCTTGATGGGCGGAATTTACATCCACGGCACGCTCTGGGTTGTAGCGGAGAGCAATTGTTTCTGACACAGCTTGACAGAGGCCAAGGCCTTCTGAGGCGGGCGGCTTCAGTTTATTTTGAAGGATTAATTTATTTATTAATTATTTTGAAGGATTAGCACTCGACTGAAGGACTACAGAAAAACGCTGCATTAAATGAAGATGCACTACTACAAGTTGTATATAAAGCATTGTTAGTCTCGGTGGACTGCACGAGTTCGCCACTAGGGCAGTATATCCTTTAGCTATGCCGCCCAGAATTCCACTGGGGGCTTCCCAAGGAGGTTCCGAGCGAATTGCGTAAAATACTGAATGTTCTCGAGGAAAGTCGTGTCAGTGCTGCATGATGAACCCGAAAACTTTAAAAATTCTAGCGAAGAAACTGAGAACGAAAGGAAAGAATAGTTCCAAAATTTCATAATCATACCTAGTTTCAAAACTGCTAAAAATGTAGAATGAAGGGCTCGAAAAATCAGTCTTGGTAGGAACTATTTTTTTCTCCTAAATGGACATCTCAGCCTCTCAGAAATTGGAAAAGTAACTGTACGTCATCGATAGAATTGGTTGTGCGTTTTGTCAGCACATTCAAAAACATGCACATTAGACTTGAAACATTTAAAGCAGTTTTTCTGATCCCTGTAATTGTTTTTACTGAACAGTTTGAGTCTACTGTTAAAGATCACTCATTTTGTAGATGACGATATTAATTTGGTTAATAGGATACCTTTCGGGTGCCCTTAGTTTTGTGTTGTATGATCCTAGACATTCGTCTATTACGTAAGGCATGAATTGTTAAAACTCTTGTATATTTGAGCGTAATTTTCTTCATGGACACAAGCCATGTAGTGTAATTTTCTCTCTCTACAGAAGGCCATTTTTATTTTCTGTCTGGTCTTTCAGCCAGTAACATAGGCTTTCTGTATATTATAATTTAAATTCCGAAACTTTTCTCCTCATGAGAGAGGGAGTTTAAAACGCATTTGCGCACAGGGTCTTTTCCTGTACGTTTTCCTCAGTCTGTACAAATAGCCACTACTTTTTTGAATGCGTTTAAAGTTTCCTTTTGTGAAAATTTTTGAATTTACTGTAACTACCACTGTTAATCATGTAAATATAACCACTTCACTCACTGCAATAAAAGATTTTTTTAATAAGAGGAGACTATGACGTAATGGGAGAAGCAGTAGACCTGTGCACTTTTCTCAGAATCCCTTTCTTGCCCTTTTACTAAACTTTAAATACGAAGAAAAGTATTAGTGAGGTCAGCAACATTTATCAACAATAAATTTTCTCTCATAGAAAATGAATTTGAATCGATAAATGAACTAGAAATAAAATTTTAGAGTATAGATACTAAAAGAGCAAACGACAACCTTGTCTGTATTTCTACCACAAGCAAGATCTACGCAAATTGAAGCTAAATTTGTCCGGAATCCAAACAAAGGGCTGTATCTGCAACGGGTGAAGGAAAATTGTATGAAAAACCTAACTTGTAAAGAAACTTCTCTGCCAACATGCAGTGAATTTGTTTCAGTTATATATTTTAATCATTTTATTTCATTTTGATCTTAGACGGATAAATAAGAAAATGGTTCATCGTGATCATTTAGTTCTAACATACGTGCAATTTTAATTTAAGAAAAAGAAACTTCGATCTCTCTTAGGGTAATGTGGGGAAGCACCCTGTCATCAATTTACATTTAAAATACTTTAGACAAAAATTGGATAATTAATATATAAACATTTAACCAATATTAGTTTCGGGACATGCGGGTAATAGTCATAAAACATAAAGACGGCAAAGGAATATTTAATGTTAGAGCTTCAATAGAAATGGCCGCCTGCTCTCGAGGATTCAGCCGGCCTCAGCGGTTCTTATTCTTTTACATGGCGACAAGCGCCCTCTTACTGATCGCGTCAGTGGGAGAATGTAGATTGTTCGGCGGTTTGCAGCCATTTCTGGCCAAATGCACTCTGGGAACTGAAACGAACCTGCTCAGTGAGAATTTGAGAGTTGGTGCGGTGTTGAGTGTGCCTGAGTTATTGGTCGGTTTTAATTATTGTTAATCCAAAGGTTATCCATGTTTTTGTTAATTGCCATGCATTGGGCGTAAAATGTTAAATCGTATTTCGGCTGAAACAAATATTTGGTTTATGTAATCCATTCGAAGAGAATCTTCGAAGACCCTTTAAGACCCTGCCTAAATTCGACAACTAAAGTTAGTGTACTAAAAGAAACTGTTTACACTAAGAACTTTATGGTGTGTTAGGTATTGCAAGGGTCAAAGCTGTTTTGAAAATAAGAAAAAACCAGAAAATATGTTTAGTTTTTGGTAGATTTCCCCAACAAAATAAAATCTCACGAAAAATATTTCCGATCAACAAAACACAATGAATGTATTTTATTGCCACCTCAAACCTCGTCCATGGAAGGTTCGTGGTAACAAGACCAACGAATTGAAGGATTCTTCCAAAATATTTATGGTAAAGAATGTGGCAAAATACGAGAATAATGAACGTTGTAATAGTGTAAAATAAGTTTTTGCACGATGGGAAATAAATTTCGTTGTCGGTAAGAAACGCCGTCTTCAGAAAAGTTAGTTTTCAGATCGTAAAATCGAATACGTAAAACTAGGAACTATTTAAAATGGAAAACCTGTAACTCACATCAACGCTTTCACTGAAAATCTGTGAATCTTCTGATTCTATTTTTGTTTTAATAAGGTTTACAGGATAGTAATGCGTGTACGACATGAAATCGGATTGTTCCAAACGAATACTTACTATACATGACTTTGCCTTCGAAGAAAAGTATACTAGCTTCCTAGCTAGTCTAAGAATACATAATGATCAGCCCTCTTAAATAACTTCATACGTAAATACGTTTCCCGTCAGCATTAAAGGCTAGCTGTTATTGAGAATATTATAGCCCCCCCCCCACGCGCGCACGCACGCGCACGCACACGCCTCACTACGTCATAAGGTTCCTTACTAATAGAGGAATAGCATTGCGAAGCGAAGAAATGCCATTCAGCATTCGTTGAATCTTTAAGGAAGCATAAAGTCGCATTGTTTTGTAATGTAGGTACCGACCGAGGTTTAGCAGTAGTCGTGTAGTTAACACATTAACATTTAATTAAGAGACAGCTATATATTAAAGATCACAAGAATAATTGTGTAAAGGAAAAAATTACGTTGGACAATGAAAAGACCAGGCTTCAAATTTTATTTTGACTCTCGCTACCGCTTACGCGGTAAAGAGAAAGTTCAATAATGCTGGGAACGGCCAATTTCGGCAGGAAAGAAGCTTATTACAGGGCCCAAGCAAGGAATCCTTGTGGGTTCTTGATACAGTTGACGGCAGAACGTCTGTCCGTCCGTTTCTCTCTGTGAATAACGCTAGCGCCTAAACTCCTATACTCTTTCTGTTATATGTAAACAATACGCTGTCGTCTAATAAAAACGGAAGAACGGTTCTGTTTGGCGATGACACGAATGTTCATTGCAAAAGAAATAAATAGTAAGATTTTTAAAAGTTTCAAATTGGTTTAGTTATAACAAATGAAGGGAAAACAGTTTCAATGCCTTTTTGAATTTCAAATCGCATGCTTCATTGAAAATTAATAACGTGCAATTTGCTGATGTTCAGGTAACAAAATTTGTAGGTATCTCAATTCAGTGAAATCTGAAATGGAATGTAGTTATAACAAAATAAACTTAATTTAGTGTTTAATTATGTTACGCATTCAGATTTCTATCAAATACTGTCAGCCTTCATGCAGCTCGTTGCTTGTATTTTGAAAATGTACATTCCCGCCTGAGATATGGTATAACATTCTGGGGAAACTCATCGTGTAGTACTGAAACCTTTAGATTGCAAAAGAAAATTATTCGAATAATGAAAAAAATCCATCCGCGTTACCCTTGCAAGCCTCTCTTCATTGAGCTACGAATCTTACCACTGCCTTGCCTATATATTTACGAATCTGTAAGATTTGTCAAAAGTGACTTACTTAACGGTATCATATTTCATCGCAATACCGATTTATAATTACAACACGTCGTAAAACTCACGTTCATGAAGTCAGTATCAACAGCTCACTATCAGATATCCACAAACAATGAATGTACGTTAATGTACATCGCACTGCCAGATGCCATTAAACAAGTGGTCGGTTCACAAATTTAAGTTAAAAGTAAAATATTTTCTGCTGCATAACCGTTTCTGTGCAATTAAAGACTATACTGATTATCAAAAAGGAAAAATGTTTATTTTAACAAAAGTGATATGTAATAAATTAGTTTGCATTTGTATTGTATATTTTTTTGAAAGACTAATATATTTGTAACATGATATACTTCAGCTTTCGGGTCAATGACCCCCACCTCGATCAGGTTTTTGTCCTGTTTCCCTGATCCATTGAGCCAATGCTGAGATGGCCCCTTGTTTTGCTTCTGTGGCTTCACTATGCGCACGTTTTGTTGAAGGCTCCTTTTGCTTGTAATGGTAAGAGTAGAGGTAAGGGCGAGTTACTATTTTGTTAGCAATGCATAAAAATCATACTTGCAATTCGTGTACCGCTGCAAATAAGTTTTCTGTAACTCGGAAACAAAAATGACTATTTTTCAAATATTGTTAATCTTGAGATTTTTTAAATTTTTTTTTATTTATTTGTGACTGTTTTTTTTGTGTTAAATGTCATTTTATTTATTTAAATATCTCAACTATTTATAGTTAAATGACGGGAAAGAATTCTGCAACTCAAGAAAACGTGCGCAGATAATTTCCCCCATACATCACTTAGTTTTCACTGTTGTTTCTTTTCACTGAATGAATGTAAATCGTTCGGTCGATTTTTCTCGAAAATCGGAATTTCCCGGTTTCATCTGAGGTTACGGACCTTTGAATTTGAAACTATATAAAGTACTTTCTAGAATTAAATTGAAGCCCCTGGAACATTTTCAATGAAATAGCTCAGTTTTTTGCTGTATTTAAATATTTTTTGGGAACGTGAAGGACGTTTAAGAAAATGGGGCAGTAGGTTCTCATGTTAGTTAAAAATCCTTTTTTTCAAAAAGTGCAGCAATAGAACATTTTTTCGTCTTCCTAAAACTACAATTAAGAAGATACAATTTTTTTGTTTGTGAAATGTGTTCATCAATAAGATTTTTTTAAATGTCATGTTGATTTTTTCAAAAACAGAAATATTTTTAGTGCTTTCGTGAAGGCAATTTTAATTCTTTAATGAAGACCTTGGCAAATATGGCGAAAATTTTTATTTCACTGTAAGTTAGCTTCATGTGTTAGGAGCATTCTCCCAAAGCTTGAAGTTTCTACGACGCCGCGAAGTGTCCTTTAAAATGTAAAGAGCGCGGGTCCGCGCGGTGCTATGCCCCCGTCAGCGGAGACAGTCTTTTTTGTCATAAATGCTGCAAAGACATCCGTTGAAAAGACAGTTTTCGTGCGTGTTTTTGTCAGGACATTCTAATATATTTCTAGAAGGCCATGATGCGTTTTGGCGGTATTCGTTGTCACCAATACCACCTAAACTTTAGTGCCTAGGTGCCTACATGTATTGGTGGTTTTAGGTGGCATGGGTTGTAACTTTAGAGATTCACCTGAGTTCTTTTCAACTGTGTGGCGTATTGAGTGCAGTTTTTACATAGCGTTTCGATAGCATTTTGTGGTGATTTTTATTATGAAAATAATGGCGATCAGTGTTGGACGATAAAAAAGAGCAGAGTGCAAAATCTACATAAGGGCAGAGTACCAGAAACTTCATATGTTTACATCCACGCCTTAAAGTGCATAATGTCAGAAAATGCAGACTGAGCTGTGAAATTCTGGTGAACTCAAGTGGATTTACACTAATCTTTGTTTGAGATTTCGTGATGATGGAAGCGAGTGAGCATTGCTTGTAATTTACAAATTATGTGACAGTTGCAATGCGATAACTGAGAAGACGTCAAAATCTTGTAACTGGCAATATGAGGCTAATGTAACATTGGTTCATGGTCTTAGACGTGTGGGATTTGGAAAACAGTGGCAATCTTCTATCAGAGATGATGAATATGCTTTCGCCATCTGCTTGGTTTACAGCAGCAAATAATACTCTGCTGAGTTCTGTCTCCAAAGTGTCAGAGGAAAGTATGTTAAAAGCAGATGTTGGTGCTGTAAAAATGCTGAATCTACTGGTCTGTGTCTTGTAATGGCACATGAATGAATCATGAAAACCAGTCACTGCATATGCACAGTAATTGTAGTGGACACATGCTGTGGTGGATATGTGGGTAGTAAACAAATCTTGCTTAGAATGCTCTGTGAAAACCAGATAATGATCCTCATAAAGAATGGCAAGAGAAACATAACAAGACATGTCTCAGAAATTGATGGTTCAAGTGGAGGAATGGAGGCAGCAGGTAAGAAAATATTTCATAGATTGATAGAAGCATGGTACATAAAATGCATAAAATATTGAGGTGATGGAGACTAGTGCTTTCAAGACTGGGTGAAAGTTTGTCTTATGAAGAGAATAAAACTGAAAAACTTGAATGCATTGGACACTTCCAAAAGAGAATGGGGAGTAGATTATTGAAAGTAGTTCAAAATTTGAAAGAAAAGAAATAAGATGATGTGAAACCAATAAATGGAAGAAATATTGTTAAGCAAAAAAAGTAAATAAATTCAGAGCTCTTACGGAATGGCAATGGAGAACATCATTTCAAGTGTAGAGGACATGAGTAAAGTAGTTTCTCTCTACAAATGAAAATCCTGCCCATGGTTTGTGTTCGGAATTATGTTGCAAATGTAAGAAAATGCAAGCAAGAGGTTGCGAATATGAGCACAAAAATAATCTCCCCAAAAATCTGTTATGGATACCATCAAGCCCTTTTTTTAGACCATTGTATAAAACCAGTTTGCTGGAAAAATGAACTGGTGGGAAGACACAAAATTCCAATGAGAGCTTTAATTGTATCATTTTGAAGAGGTGCCCTAAAACATTATTTGTATCTTCCAAAGTTGTAAATATTGCAGCATGTGATGCTGTAATTACTTTTAATGATGGCAATATAGGTAGACGTAAGGTAATTAAAAATAAAGGTTTCTCTCCCAGTGCATTTACTGTGAACATTTTTGAAGACATTGATGAGATGGATTGCTGCATGAAGTGGAAAATGTGCCAAATTTGCACAGAAACAAAGAAAACTGAAGTGTGTGAAGGGAGACAAGAAAATGAAGAATATTAATGTGGGGCATTTTAATGGAAAAAATCATGCAAGTTATCAAAAGAAAACCTCTATGCACGTTTTCTTAACATGTTCTGTACAGTGTTGGAATATTTATGTACCTTTTTTCTTCAAAATTAGAATTCTAAAGTTGTGCAGCATTGTTTTAAAATATATATTTAATGTTTCCTTGAGAGCAAAAGATGTTTGTATCACGAGTTAATTTCTTATATAGATGTTTATTGAAATGAAGTAATTTTAATTTCTAAATTGAACCATTTATTAAAGTTTCTCATCCTTCAATATTAAATCCCCTCTCAATTATTTACAACCTGGTATGTGTAAAAAAAAATTGAAGAATTATGTTAAATAATTTCTGAAAAAAATGACCTTTTAATTTTTTTATAAATATTAAAAAATTGTTGAAATAAATGTGGGGGAAAAAAGATTGATTTGATTTATTTACAGTCGCATCAACTACATAGTTATTGGCGACTACCTTAATAATACTCAATCAGTACAAAATAACACAGTAACTTAGAATTTTACATATATGGTTATATATTGTTATACTTTCAATTTCCTTTACAAAGCAAATGAATTTAATGCACTGTTCGTTATTGATATCTTTAAGAGAACTTAGTTTGTACTTGTTTCTTGCACTTTCATATTCAGGGCAAACAAATGTTCTACTGAAAGAGGGATCTTGCACACACTAGTTATCAGCATCCGTCCTGTTCAATAAGTAGCCGTGTGAAAATTTTGTGTCCTATTCTACATCTTGTTAAGACGACCAGATCGTTTCTGCCGAAAGTGACCTTTGGTTTATCATCAAGTTTCCTAACTGATCTTAATTTGCAACCCTGTTAGTTGTTCCATTCTTTACTGTCGAGGTCAGCTAATTTGTTCTTACCCCTTTTGAGGTATTCTTGATAGCTTACTGGTATATCACTTCGAACTTCGGTTCGCGCTGCTTCTTTAGCTTTTCTATCTGCCAATTCATTTTCTGCAATGCCAACGTGCGAAGGTATCCAGCACAAAGCTATTTCTTTACCCTCAGTGTTCAAATGGTTGATTTTTCCAACTATTTCTTCTACCAATACATTATCAATGGATAGATTCATTATAGCAGATACAGCACTTTTAGAGTGTGTTATCATAAATCTTTTTGGATTGGTCCTTTTGATGAATTTAAGAGCCTCAGCTATGGCATATAATTCGCTGGATATCACTGAGAAGTCATCCGGTAATTTTTTTTGTGATCACCTAGCATGAAGCTATTAATGCGCAACCTACGTTGTTTAGAATCTTTGAGCCACCAGTATAAATTGTATTGTAACCATCATATTTTGCTAGTTCATTTCTTATTTGAGCACCAATTTTACGATGGTTAGTATTCTGCTTGTTAAGGATATTTGCAAATTCAATAACGTTGATGTTTCGTATTCTACAGGGGGCATAGTCGGGTACAGGCGCCATCTTTAGGGATGGCATTTTCTCTTGTATCTTCTTTAGTGTTTGAATTGCTCTTATTGCTAGGGATCTCGGGAGCTACTTTTTATAGCTAATGTTCTATAATGTTTGTATGCATATTCGAACACTTTATTTATTGGATTCAGTTTGTTGGCTGCCACTTTAATCGTATACCCCATAATTAGGTTTCTTCTACGTTTTTCCAATGATAATAAATCTTGTTCACACAAAGTACTCATTGTTGGGCTGGTCTTGAAAGGACCACACGTGAGTGTTGCTCCCGTATAATTGATAGGATCTAACAGTCTCTTGATGTTCTTCTTGGCCGCATCGTATAGTATACAGCCATAGCCCAATTTTGATCTGACGATTGCCTGATAAGTTCTCCTTATAATCGTATAGTCCGCTCCCCAGGACGTATGGCTAATGACTTTGACAAGGCTCATTCTTTTGGTGCACTCGTTATTTAAATTCTTGATATGCGGAATCCATGTCATCTTTTCGTCTAAAATCATTCCTAACATTTGAATTTCCTTACTCTGTACCAACTTATGCTGTCCTAATTTTAGTTCAATGTTTTCTTCTATGAGATCGTTTTCTAGAAAAAACTATGAAAGTGGATTTAGTCTTTGAAATCTTGAGCCCGGTTTTCCTTGAAAATTCTATGACTGCATCTAAGATGTTTTGAGCCTTTTCTTCTAATGATGTAATATCTTTGCCAGTTATGCTAAT